AGACAAGTGCATATAAACTATAAAAGTATTTCAAAAATTCCTTTTATCGAATAAAACTACTTTTCGGCGACAAATTTCTTTGCTTTTTCATTGAAACATTAGGTTATGTGACTCTGTAGAAAAATTATGTTTGACTGGAGCTGCAACAGTAAGGAGATCTATAATGCTGATAACGAAGAGAGAGACTACGGGAAACTATCCAACTGAACATATATATCTTTAGCATTGCAGAAAAGCATGTGAATAAAACCAGAAACGCAATTCCACCGAAAATATGTAACATTGTCCTTAAAAGTTTTTTTTTAATGATTTTTCGGGATTTCTGAAACAGCAAAAAGCACAGCATCTTTTAGATATTTTGAATATCAAATTACATCAAAAAAATATTTTTTTGACTTTAACTCGACCGGTTATGTAGTAGGTTTATCGTATATTAAATAATTTCTGATCCTAAAAAATCAATTCGCCTAAAAACTATCGGTCGGTGCGCTTTCGCCGATCTCCTTTGCTTAACTGTAAATAATCCGAATTGAGTAACGAATTTCTTCAAACCCAAACACCTTCGTTATATAACCGATCGATTTAAGAAACAAATTTGTTTCAACCTAGTTCTAATAGTCGCCAATTTTTTAATATATTTATTTTAGAATGTTTATACGTGTATTTAACTTTGGAGGTATGGTCCGGCACATATATAGGTGCGCTTAAATAACCACAAACCGGTTGTATTTTTTTTTATAATTTCCGTGATTAGACTTACACATTGAAAATAACAGACAAAACGTGGCCGTCAATTGTATAAAGGTTTGGCGAGGCTGCGTTCCAGGCAAGATTTTATGAACGTCTAGCATTTTGTAAATTGAAATCGTCCTGCTTATTAAAGTATAAAAGCTATATATAACGCTTGCGATCATTCCAGTCATGTGCTTGTAGTCCTCTATCCACCATTGCGCAGTTTACTTCTTGCTTCCACGATTTTCTTGGTGTAAAGTCTGTTCATAGATATAAGAAAGTGACCAACTGATACGAATTAAGTAAAGACCCGGGCAAGCTGTAAGAAAAATGACCGAACAGGTCCGTACTTTGCTTAGAATTTAATTATTTGGGGTTTTGTTAGGAAAGATACTAAACAATATTTATTAATTTAGGTACGTATTTATATTTAAATCTAAAATAAAGTTACAAATTATTTTTAATACCTACTTAAATTACTTAAAATTATTCACATAATATATTAGTATCAATATCGCTATCAGCGCCTGTTCTTATTTTCGTCAATGTGGCCGTTTCTTCTGAAGATGCTTGCTTACTGGCACCACGTTCAGTGAGAGTCAAATAAACATTGTTTATAACTTCTTTAGTCTCTTAGTTCCTTCCTCAGTGTTTTCTACATTTGGGGGGAGCATCTCCTGAGATACACTAGACTCGCACATATTTTGCATAATTCGCACACGATTCAACACACGCTGTATTCACACGAAATAAGAATGATTACTAATAAACTTAAACTAAGTAGTATACCAAACCAAAGAATATTAAACACAGGTAGGTATAAAATTATTTTCTATTACGGACCACAATTTTACCTGAATTTAAATTCCGAAACTTTAGGTAATAATCTTGTTGCATTATATGTTAATGACCACCCTTGGATAATCCCATTCAAAAGCAATTCCCCAAAACCATACCTCTTTTTCTGGGATTGGTGGGGATCCAAACTGTTGTTTTGTCTATCCGTGATCATTAATCCTTTCGACGTGGCCATACCATTCCAACCTTTCACATTCTATAGTTTCCCGGATCACAATATCAATGCCCATTTGCTCTCTGATTTCAGTATTTGCCACCATGTCCCTTCAAGGTAGCTTGCATCTGCTCCAACAATTCACTCCCATAGTTTTTATTTTGGAGGCTTCTTTTTTATTTATTACCCAAAGGTCTGATCCATAAGATGCAATACTTATTATATTCTAAGAGTATATAGTATATAGTTGGTGTATTGCTGTATTTTATTGTGCAATTCTAGTTGCTATTTCTTTTGTATTTGTATGGCCATCATCTGTTATTCTTGTAACTATCAGCGTTTTTAATTTGCGTGCCTCTTATTTCTAAATGTCGTCCTTTATTTCCCACCACTACATACTCTGTTTTTGATGGGTTAATTGTTAAACCCCACTTGCTATATTCTTCATCGATTTCTCGCAACATGCAAATATTACTTGGTCATCTGCAAAATGAAAGCTATAAAGCTTATGATCTCTAATTGGTTCACATTTTCTTTTCCAAATTTCTAAGGCCCCTTCCAAATAGATCTTAAAGAGATGCAATGCAGCAGCCTTGTCGAAGTCCTTTGGCCACTTTCATCTTTCTGATCACTTTTTGCTCAATCTTTATTAGACTCGTCATATCCTCGTACTCCTTCACTGCATTAATGTTTTGATAACGAATTTTTAGATCTTATATATTATATTTTTTTATCAATTTGATTTATTTTAGAAATATAAAGGACACATGTCCGCTAAAGGGGCCAGTGTACTTCTTGAATGAAATTAAAAATAATTGAGGCTCATTGACTTTGCAGGACCACATAAAACTGTCTCAGTTTTGTAGCAACACCTGTCATTTTTTTCAAATAACGCGGTAATTTATCAGTGAAATTTTGTTAAACTGCTAAGTATCAATAATGAAAATAGTTTTTTTAAGTACATATTTTTAATAACAGGTTTGTGCATTTTTACAAGGATTAATTTTAATTAAAAAAAAGTGTGTATTAAAACTTAGATGTAGGGTGCCTAATATTACCTATGCATTTTTTTTTGTTAAAACCGTTATTTTGTTTTTATTTATTTATTAATGTTATCAATAAATGCTTATTTAAGCTGGTTAAGTTATTTATGATAATCCATTTGCAAACAAAACATTATATGAGACCAATGCTTTTTTGATACAAACGTGGCTTTGTTTGCTTCACTTAATTTTAGCAGATTACATGTAAATAATAATAACGAATCTATATTTGAAGATGTAATCTGGAATATTTTGCTTAAAATACGTAATTTTGGTGACATTCTAAAGTTAGATATTTCCCTAAGGTTAGATTGGTTAATAAACATGATATCCGAAAATGCGGGGTTCACAAATACGTGGATACAAAAAAAAATCTTTTTTCATTATTTCTGAAACTAAAAATGAAAAACTACAAAAAACTAAAACTTGCAATTAAAATTTAAGATAATTTACAATATTTTTACTTCATACTTTTGGTTAGTGTAGCTGCAAAATATTAAGCTTTTGTGGTCAAAATTTCATTAAGGTATCTGAAATCGCTTCTGAAACAATTTAAAAAGCAATTTTTGGGGGCCGCTTTTACAGAGCAGTATCGCTCGATGGAGGCATCTTTAACCAAACCGACGTTTTTGAGAAACATCCGGAATAGAAGAACTTCCCGGTTAGAAAAAAAATCCACCAAAATAAGGTTATCCAATAGTTTCCAATCTCTTCAACTATGATGCTTCCTCAACTAAGGATGGGAAACGCAGTAAAAGGGATGTCAGAGGTTAACGTCCCTTGTTCGAAATCAATCAGTTTCTTCAGCTTAAGAACAGTTTGTAGAAATGTCAGCAACAAAGGGGAGCTGGATTTTAGAGAGTTGTTCGACAAATTCAGTTCTCGGATAAGAGAAGATAAGAGAATAATAGACGATTATCCAGATTATTTTTTGAGTTGCTTCAGCAACGAATGTGCTAAAAAGCATCAGAAGTGAACGTTCGTTCTTCAAAATCGATTAGTTTCTTTACCGTAGGTCAGAAAAATCGACAAATAGAAAAAGGACAAAAGGGCTCGGAAGTTTGCATTTGCTTTCGTGTTAACAATGGGGCTTGCATTTTAACACTTGGTTTTAAAGAGTTGTTCACTTTTGAAAAATTCCACCAACGAAGTGGAAATCAGTAAATAAGCCACCAAAGAGGAGAATAGAAGATTATCCAAGTGATTTTTTTAATTCTTTATTTAGCTTAGCATCAGATGTTAATGTTAATTCTTCAAAATCAATCAGTTCCTTTAGCACAAGAACAGAACGTAGAAAAGTCGACAAATAGAAAAAGGACTAAAGAACTAATCAGTTTGCACTTGCTAAACTTAACGAGTTCGTGTTTATAATGGAGCTTGCATTGTTGCACTTTATTTTAAAGAGTTGTACTCTTTTGAAAAATTCTACCAAACATTGTTAACTAACCAAAACTCCTTCAAAATTAGCTCATAGAAAACTGTGCCAAGGGAAGAATAAAAGTTCATCCCTTCCCCCATGATATTTTCTTCAGCTTGTTCAACTGTGCTCCTTGCTCATTTAACGACGTAAAACATTTAAAAAGGCATTAATTTTCAAAGAGTTTAAAGGTTCTTTAACTTAAGAACAGAACAATCCAAACTCGACAAATAGAAAAAGGGCGGAAGAACTCGTAAGTTTGTACTTGCCAAACTTAACTCTATGAGTTCGTGTTTACAATGGGGCTTGCATTTTGCACTGTATTTAAAAGAGTTGTTCACTTTTGAAAAACATCGTTTAAAACTCTTTTTCATTTAACTACGTCAAAAGCAATGAATGAAGTTTCTTTAGCTCAAGAACAAAACAATCAAAACTCGACGAATAGAAAAAGGACAAAAGGATTTACTTTTCACTTGTTAAATTTAACTCCAAGAATTCTTATTTACAATGGAGCTTGAACTTCTTAACTTGGTTTTCGAGAGTAAAAACTCAGTCGAAATCAGCTCACGGATAAGAGAAAATGAGAGAAGAATAGAAGAGTATCCAGATGTTCAGTTTCCTCTGCGTAAGAACCTAAAAAAAGGACTAGGGAAATGATCAAAGGGCTGGCAAGTTAAGTTGTTGTTAAATTTCCTTGAGCAAGTTCGTGTTGACAATGGGGTTTGTATTTTTGAGTTGGATTTTAGAGAGTTTAAATAGAGCTCTAGTCTTCATTTCCTCTTAACGCCATAATTACCTTAACGGAAGTATTGGGGTACTGCGTGACGTTGATGAGATAGTGAGCCTCTTCCATGACGAAATCTCTGATCGCGTCGATATCGATCTCCATGTTTCACCAAAACGTCACCAACAGAGAGAAGCGGGAAACCGAAAAAGTCACAGAACGACGCGAACGAAAAAAAAAAATACACTGCCCGAAAATTCGAAAGTAATTTTTCGAAGCGTGGCCGCGATCGGAATGCCGGTGCCTTTTGCGAAACTTTTGTGAAATACGTTTCGAGTTTGGGTACTCTCCCCCACCACCACCACCGCCGGTCAGCATAGGGGGACTTTCGGGAGAGCAAAAAAAAAAAGAACCGCGACCGCGTCTCGAGACTTCGCACGCGTCGCGGCGTTGGAGGGGGGTACGTTCTACGTACTACGGCGATGACGACACCGTACGTAAAGGTTGTCGCGCTCTCCGCTCTGCGAAGATTGGCGTAATTTTCTTCGATGGTCCTCGAAGGCCGTTCGCTGTCTGGCAAGAAATTCTGCGTCTTTGTGCCGCTATTGTTCGCCGTTCAACGTTCTTGCATCAACGAGGTGTATCTATTTATCGTAGAAGTTGAACTTTTCAAATGATTACACTGGTATACATTGGTTTTGTGCCCCTGGATATGAGACTAATTTTAGATATATTTATGCTCACAATTCATGAAACCATCAATGATTTTGTAAGAATTGCTCTCAATTTTGTTAAAATCTTTATTTTCATTTTAATTTCAAAAAATCGGAAAATAAGAAATAAAATGACATAAATTTTGAAAATATTAGTTTTATTTTGATAGATTAACAAACACTGAAGTAAATAGAGAAAAAAATGTTAAAAACTTATAACATATTTCCATAAAACGCCTTTTATTAGCTTTTCTTTTATAACTCTTCTTTGGACAATCTCTTTTTAAAGACCAGCAGTAATCTGCCATCATATGACAATCCAAGCGACCCTGAACCGTTCTTCAATCACTTTTAGATCCTAGTGGAACCGCTCTCCCTGTTCTTCACTATAATTAGATAATAGATGATTGCGAAGATAGTGTAACTTGATACTCATATTTGCTCCTTGAATCTGAAAATTTGTCAGCACAATTTCTTCATAATTTGTTCCTTGATGATTGATTACCTAGGAAATTTTCGACTACCAATACAAAACTTTCCCAAGCTTTACTTTCCGGAACAGTTATAACTTTGATAAACTCTGAGTCTTTCATCATTTGCCGTATTTGAGGACCATCAAATATTCCACGTTTCAACTTTTCCATACTAAGCTTAGGAAATTTTGTACAAATGTAATTAAAACACTTTCCGTCCTTGTCTAATGCTTTTCCGAATTGTTTGATCATTCCTAACTTAATATGTAATGATGGGAATATGATTTTGTCTCTGCTTACCAGTTTAAAACCGAAATATTCATTGTAAGCGTCCTTAACAAAGTCTGTAATGTTTCGTTGTTTTTTTGTTAAATAAACACCGCAGATATAACAAAACAAATCAGTACTATATTTACACTTTCTTCTTGACGAACTCATATTTTAAAAGACGAAACAAATATATATTTAAATATGTATTCAGTAATCGAAACGAAATATTAACTCATAAAGATTCATGTGTAGGTATGGTCTGTTCGTAGATATAAGAAAGTTGCTTTTGAATGAGATTATCCAAGGGTGGTCATTAACATACCATACAATGCAACAAGATTATTACCTAAAGTTTCGGAATTTAAATTCAGGTAAAATTGTGGTCCGTAATAGAAAATAATTTTATACCTACCTGTGTTTAATATTCTTTGGTTCGGTATACTACTTGGTTGAAGTTTATTAGTAATCATTCTTATTTCGTGTGAATACAGCGTGTGTTGAATCGTGTGCGAATTATGCAAAATATGTGCGAGTCTAGTGTATCTCAGGAGATGCTCCCCTCAAACGTAGAAAACACTGAGGAAGGAACTAAGAGACTAAGGAAGTTATAAACAATGTTTATTTGACTCTCACTGAACGTGGTGCCAGCAAGCAAGCATCTTTAGAAGAAACGGCCACATTGACGAAAATTCCAACATCAACTGTATTTATTTTCACGAAGATTATACCAAAAAGCAATTAAATGAGGTTTTACAAACCTTGAAGCTACAAAAGGAATACGTCTGTGATAATTATGCAAAAAATCTAGGGCATACAGTTTTAAGGCTTCCACCTTACCACTGTATATTTAATCCCATTGAACATGTTTGGCGCCAACCGTTAACTCCAATGTCCTCAAACTTATAGAAACCGAAGTTTTTAACATCCCCCCACAAAGTTGGGCAAATTCTGTTAAACATATAGAAACAGCGAATGTTCCGCCATCCATATTGCAAATAATATAGAACAAATAATAATTAAAGCAGGCGATGATAGCAATAGTGATACTGATATATTATGTGAATAATTTTAAGTAATTTAAGTAGGTAATAAAAATAATTTGAAATTTTATTTTAGATTTAAACATAAATACATACATAAATAAATATTGTTCAGTATATTTCCTAACAAAACCTCAAATAATTAAATTCTAAGCAAAGTACGGACCTGTTCGGCCATATTTCATTCTTACAGCTTGCCCGGGTCTTCCCTTAATTCGTATCAGGTAGAGGAATACAAACAAGTGATATAAGATTCTGTTTCTTGATAGTGGCCACTATTTGATTGTGGTCTATGTCTTCCAATTTGTTTTTGTTCGTTGGGATGCCCGTTTTTTTTTACTTGGACGCATATGTACGTACATATATTTTTCAAAAACTTGAAAGTAATTTCCAGAATTTTGTTATTCACTTAGTTTTTTTTTAATTTCTAGAATCATCCTCATAGGGTGTTTTAGCTTCAGCAGTCGACGGCTACTTTTAGAATAAAAAATAATATAAGGATTTTAATTACTTAGTTGTATTTCTCTGAAATCTAAAATACATGTCCGTAAATTTATTAACTGCCATCTTGTTTTACGTTAAGTAAGCTTTCAAATTGTACTCTTAACAAATTATTTTTTTTGTTATCTTATTTTTTATGTTAGCAATAATGACTTCCGATATTCGCTCATGCAGCAAAGACGAAAAAGACTTCTTTTAGTAGCTAAAATCATTTCCTTTTATATTCTCTTGACTTATTAGAAAATAGTCAATTTCGTCGGAAATATTAAGTTGTGACATATCTTTGAAAAGGCATTGATAAAAAGGTAGACCAATATTGCCCGGTAGAATCAACACCTCAATAATATCTACTTTTTTACAACACGTGGCCCAAAACAGAAATTCGAGCCAAATTTGAATAAAATTTCGATTTGCGAGCACTTTTCGAGTCGACTTTTTGAACGAGACGCAAAAAACACACCTTCATCGTGTTGACGACTTCCAGCGACGCAAAACAACGCCACGCAAACAATTCCATTAATAACTCGTTAAGTGGCGGTTAACGAACGTCGACGATTCGTCAAATTTGTCAAAAATGAATTCGCGAATAACCAATCGCGGCGCACTCGCGTCGCATAGGAGGACGTCAAACTAACTAGGCTTGTTCGCGTTACCTGCGTTTCGTAGGGAAAAAAGTGCACATTTACAGTTGGAATTGGCGATGCTTCGCAAAGAAACTGTGACCCAGTATCACAGAATGAAGATAACGAAGCGAAGAAATGTCGAAGATGAATGAGGACTTTTTTAATGCAACTTTGTTGGGTTACGTCATCTAGAATTTAACATATCCCATATCTATGGTTGACAGATGTCATCTAGGATTAGATCTCAAAAGTTTATTGTATTTAATGTAATTTAAGATCACTTTATAACGATTCCAAAGCGTCACTCATAACTATAATAGAAATGTTATACATTCATTTACAACCTTAAGAAAAATATCCTCAGATAAATGGGAACGTTTTATGGTAAATAAGGAAGTATTTAGTTACGGAAAAATTAAATCGACATGGCATTACAAATAGCAATAACTGTTAGAAATAAAGAAACTAAAAAAGTGAACAGGTAAAAAATTAAACACTGAACTTAACTTAATATTTAAACAAATAAGACCCTAAACACCATTTCAAAAAAATGCATATAAGGTTGGCGTAAATAAATACGAAAGGAATATAATTAAGAGTAGAAACTTATATTAACTGATCGATATAGCAGTTCTTTGAAATTTTAATTTTTGGTTTTGTTAAAACTTTTGAAATTATGCATCTTACCGAATTTTCTTCAAAATATCATTTCTGTGTTCGAAAAATTAGTTCGCTGATATAAACCAATCTAATTCCAGGCTCCAATCTACATACAAGTTGAATTCTGTTAAGCGACATCTGTTATTTGTATATGTCCCGCAGACGCTTAAAAACATTTAACATCATTTCTTGCAATTTCCTGCAGTAAAACTCAGTGTCACATAGACGACATACGACATCTCTTATTTGGATGTAGATTTCACTTAGCAGACTTCCATCAAAATCTCTGTTAAAGTTTTTGTTGAAAGAATGCGTCATCTAGGTTTAGATTTAAATATACATATATTTTTCTTTTTCTTATTTTTTTGTGTTATTTTAAGTTAATAGTATGAAATAATGTGTTCTCTGAATACTTCCTCTTTCTCTGTTGAAGAATGAACTTCTAAAATTCTCCTTCTTTTTTTAAATCTGTTGTATGAATTTAATTACTCTTCACTTTCAGAATCAGAAAATCTTGTTATTTTATCCTTTCCCATGGGTTTAATAATCTCTTTGAATTAAATATTATTTTTTAAATTTCAATTTAATATCAAAACGTAATTTAAATTACCTTCATCACTGCTTTCAACATTTTGGGCCGCAGTTTTTGACATCGTCAATAAAAAGTGGACTTAGGTCACTTCCAGAATTAGGATTTTCAGTATTTATATTATTTTGAAAATGTACGTGATATAAAATTTTCAAATGTACCAAGTATTTTTCAATACCGATTTATTTTTTTGACAGTTCAGCATAAATTATAAATGTCACAAGTGCCAACTTGATTAAAGATGAAAATTGACTTAAGTCACTTTCAAAATAAACGGCTCAAATAATGCAAGGAAAAATAGACAAGGTGTTTCAAAAAACATGTACCATCGATGAATAATAAATTCCTCTTTTGATATATCAACATGAATCCGATTCTGCTTCGACGATTCTTCAAATCGACTGTAGCAATTCCAATAAAACTTGGAGGGAGAAGTTAATCAAACTAGTGCATATTTT